CTCCTTTCTTTCCATTGACCAATTTGTCTGTCATCAGAATTGTACCACACTGTGTGAAACAAAGGATCTTTATTAGAAATCTAGATACCTGGTAATACAAATCTTCCAACTGGTTCTTCTTTTTCAAGAATGCCCTGGCCATTTCCACATGCATCTTTGAATTACATTGTCAACTATTTTTTAGTGAAATAAGACAATTTTACTTGGGTTTACTTAAACGCATAAATTAATTGGGGGAGAATTGACATCTTAATGATGTTAAATCTTCCAAATCATGAACATATGTATTTCTTCCTTTATTATCTTCTTCAGTAGTCTCAGCAATGTTTTGCAGTTTTCAACGGAGAAACTGTACAAATATTTTGTTGAATTTACTCCCTAATATTTTAAGTGTTTTAATATTTATAAAAGATATTGTTCTTTTTAAAATCTAATTTTCCAATTTGTATTCCTAATAGAACGAAACTACTTTTTTGTATTAGTTCTAATAGCTCTTTTTTTGTGGAATCCTTTAAATTTTTAAAAATTACTTAATGTGTTTTACTCTTTACTTAAAATTTTCATACCTTTTGTTTTCCTTGCCTTAGTAAATTTGACATCACCTGAATTGATCACTTTTTTATTATGAAATACTTTTCATTATTCTCTGGTAATTCTCTTGAATTTTACTTTTTCTGATAGTGACATAACAACTCCACCTTTCACATACTCAGTTTATATAAGGTATAAATTTTTCAACTTTTGCTTTCAGCTTGTCAGTGTGTTTATATTTAAATTGCTTTTTTTGGAAACAGCATATAATTGGGTTTTCCATTTTTATCCAATCCTACTTTACCTTCCTTTTCATTAGCCTAGTTAGCTTCAATTTAATATCTATTAATTTTAATGAGTTTATTCATATCATTTACCAATTGCTTCTACTTGTCCAATCTGTTCTTTAGAATCTTTTCTGGCATTCTTTTAGATTAGTCCCATGCTTTCAGCGTTTCATTTTATATAATTTGTTGGTTATTATTTATCCATTGTTTTGATACTTAATCTAAGACTTATAATGTACATCCTTAGCCAATCATAGACCAACTGTAATTAATATATCTCCCCACTTTATGTAAAATGTAAGAATCGTGAATATTTTCTCATTTTTCTGTATCATTTTTCTTACATTTTTGTTTTAAACTCTGCATTATATTTTAGCAAATTTAAGCATAGGAACATGTATGTTTATCATTCATATTTTTACCATTTCCAGGCTCTGCATTTTTTTCTGGGATCCACTTTTCCAGCTAGTATCAATTTTCTTTCTCTGGAATAATTTCTTTTCACCTTACTTGTAGAATGGTTCATTTGCAACAAATTCTCTGAGTTTAGGTTATTCTGAAAATGTATTTATTTCACTTTTGTTTTTAAAGAATCTTTTTGATGATTATAGTATTCTCATTTTATTAGTCTTTTGCTCTTTAACATTTTAAAGATGTTATTCTATAGTTTTCAGCTCCATTGTTTTTGATGAGAAGTCTGCTGACAGCATTAGCCTTGTCTCTGTGTTAACATTGTCTGTGTATTATGAATTTTGTTTCTCTATCCTGCTTCCAGGAAGCTTTAAATTTTTCTCTTTAATGTTGATTTTCAGGAGTTTTGCTTTTCTTTGCCTAATTATGGTTTTCTTTGTATTTATCATTCTTGATCTTAGCTGAGCTTCTCTGTTCTGAGATTTCATGTCTGTAATAATATTTGGAAGATTCTTATCTATAGTTTGCCAAATTGGACTTCTGACCTAAACTTTCTCTTCTTCCTGTTTCACGACAAGACACTGCTCCATAGGGTGTTGAGTTTTAATTTTTTAATCTTCTTTTTGTCTTTAAGGTTTATTTCAGATAATTTCTAATGACCTGTCTTCAAGTCTATTTATTTTTTCTTTGACATTGCTTATTCTAATATTATTTTTCCTTTGTTGTACAGAAGAGCTTTAGTTTGATGTAATCCCATTTGTTTATTTTTTCTTTTGTTTCCCTTGCCTGGGGAGACGTGGTAGTCCAAAAGATACTGCTAAGACTAATGCTAAAGAGCATACTGCCTATGTTTTCTTAGAGTTTTATGGTTTCAGTTCTTACATTCAAGTCTTTTTTTTTTTTTTTTTTTTTTGCTGGAGGAATATTTGCCCTGAGCTAACATCTGTGGCCAGTCTTCCTTTAGTTTGTATGTGGGTCACTGCCACTGCATGGCTGATGAAAGGTGTAGGTCCATGCCTAGGAACCAAACTGGGCTGCCAAAGCAGACTGCACTGGACTTAACTACTAAGCCACTGGGCTGGTCCCTACATTCAAGTCTTTAATCCATTTTGAGTTAATTTCTGTGTATGGTGTAATAACGGTCACTTTCATTGTTTTGCATGAGGTTTTCCAGTGTTGCCAACACCATTTATTGAAGAGAAAGTCCTTTCTCCATTGTATGTTCTTGGCTCATTTGTCCAAAATTAGCTGTCCATAGTGTGTGCATTTATTTCTGGGCTCTGAATCATTAAATTTTTACCCTTATATTATCTTTAATATTTATTTCAGATAGTTTCTATTAACCTGTCCACAGGTCCATTTGTTTCTTCTTTTACATTGTTCTTTCAGTTATTTTTCTCCACTTTTTATCAATATTATAGTTTTAATTCTAGGATTCACATTTGGTTCTTTCTTAAAATCTATATACCTCTATTCTGAAATGCCACACTCTTAACTAATTATGTATAACTTTTCCCATAGATTCTTTTCATAATCATTTTAAAGTTCTGTTGTTCTTACTTATTTTAGCAAATTGTTTGTCCTTAGGTTTATTTCTCTTGATGACTCTTTTCCTCTGAATATGGTTCATATTTTCTGCTTCTTTGCATGTCTAGTAAGTTTTTATTCTACACTAAACATCACCAATAACACATTGTAGAGATTATAGATTCTGATATTTGCCTTTGAATAATGTAGCTTTTTCTTCCAGTAAGAAGTTGTATTATACATATTTTTCATTTTTTGTGTATTGTGATGGTTTTATATCTCACGTAACCTTTCTGGCGGGAGTGAGATGGCCAAATCTGAGAGAGAGGAAAGATCCCAGCCATTAGCGTGTTTCTGATAAGCAAACTAACTAATACTTAGCCATGCCTTTTCTATCTGATCCCTAACTCACAGCAGGCAATAGTCCTCCACCTTAATCATTTCAGAGCCAAGAGATAGGCAACTAGAGACCACCCATATAACCCAGAGCCCACTAGAATTATTCAAACTAGCCAATCCAAATCAGTTCACTTTGTCCTGCCTTGCCTTTCCTAAGGAAATCCTAATAAAAGCCATGGCCAAAACCTTCCCCTAACTCTTATCATACACCTCTGACTCTAGGACTTGTGAATCTAATAAACTTTGATTTCTTTCTGAACGTATTCTCTGTCTCTTCTTACCATCACGTCTGGCTGACCATCTCATAGAAGAACAAAATGATCAGACTTTTGGTGGTAAACATGATGCAATCTATAGAGAAGTTGAAGTACAATGATGTACAACTGAAATTTACGTAATGTTATAAACCAATGTGAACTCAGTAAAAAAAAAAAAAAAGCAGATTATCTTCCTGGTGGAACACTATTATCCTGTGAGGTCTTGGTTTTAAGCATTTTTATGGTTGGTCTATTTCAGCCTTGCCTAACTATAAGTATATAGTTATTAGTTAACTCTTGGGACTAAGTATTTACTCCCAAGACATATCCACTTGGGTTCAGGGAAAATATGAGGAATTTAACAAACTCTCCTGGCCTTGAACTTCAGCTCCTTCTCCTCCACTCTGGGTATTATCTGAAATTTTCAAAGTTTCCAGCTTTCAGCAATTTCTTTCACTGGACTGCTTAGAGTTTCACCCCATGCATGCTCATGTAGATTTAGTAAATAATTTCAGGGGAAATATGAAAATTATTGGGGGTTTCCCTGGTGGGGCTCCATGGATTTCCCTTCTAATATGGCAGATATTTTGTCAGCTTCATACTCAGATCTCTAAATTGTCCCACAAATAAGACTCCTGCTGGAACTCTACTATCCATGGACCATGTGGACATGGGTGTGTTCTAAGTCCAGAAAATGAATAAACATATATCTCACTGTTTGATTCCATTCTTTCAAAGGTTGAATGCTTTTCATTTTCTGATTGCCTTTACTCGTTCACTCATGAAGTTCATTTTTACAATTTGTGTTAGATTTATATTTGTTATTTATAGAAGGTTTAGTTTGATACAGGCTTTTCTCTTTTTCTTTCTGGAAGTCTTAAGTATGTACATTACTAAATTATTTAATATTTTGAAATTATAATAGTTATAGCAAGGAAGGAAATAAATAAATATATTTCAGTATGTTAACTATGACATTGGTGACTCATTTACTTTCTACTCCTTTATAATATTTTTCATATTAATTATCTGCTTAAAAGCAGTTCTCATATTAAGTAATTGTGTTGTAAAAGATAACAAATATAATTGGCTACATATATGTACATATATATATATATCTCTAAACAAAATAAAGAATAAATGCAATTAATAAGTCAGGGAAAGGACAGGTGGTGATGCTTCAGTTATATTCCTACAACAAAAGGGAAATTATTGTAAGCATCAAAATATATTCCACCCTGAAATAAAAATTGCCTCGCAGTACATTAGTTAAAAAATCTTTCAATACCAAGACTCTGCTGAAACCCTCGTGTTTAGTAGTGACATGGACTCAGAGTTATTCATGTATGATTCCCCTGGATAAGAAAGAACCTCATCCTATTTTCAAGAACTATTTAATTTAAAAATGAGTGTTTTCTATCACGTGTGGAGCCAGTCTATTACCGCCCCTAAAGGAAGTTGTACAAGTACATATCTGGGAATGAATTCAAGAAATTATTGTGAAACCGCTAACAGGAATTAAGATATTTTGCAAAGCTTTTTGAACTTTGATATTTGCTAACTGGCTTCAATTAACTTGCCTCGTGCTAGTGCACTTAAATTCAGAGCCACACTTGAGAACCACGTAATGAAGAAGATTTAAAACCCCAAAAAGCTCAACTGGAATATTTGTGTTAACATACAATTGGGAATATCTAACATGCTATTACTAATCAATGTCATTCTCACCTTCTGGGTTTCCCGGGCTCACAGACAAGGTAAGTTGAAAACCGGTCTGAACTCTCAGCTTCCCTCTTAAATGTTAGCTTCATGTCGTAGCTACTTTCATGTGCTTTTTAAAAAATGAATCAACTAGTAGGAATAGTCTGTGTTGTGATATCATAATAGAGAATAACTTTCAGAAAAATTATCTCATATTCATCGAAGGGAAAAATAAAACAAATTATGTTTTGTTTGTTTCCTGAGTTCCACGGAGAAAGAACTCTCAATGTTTATGGAGATATGTGACTACGCTCTCACAACTTTAGGAAACGTGTCACAAGGAAAGCTAGTATCTGACTTCAAAATGTATGCAGGTTTCTTATTTATTTATTTATATTTTTTATGAGGAAGATTTGCCCTGACGTAACATCTGTTGCCAATCTTCCTCTTTTCGCTTGAGGAAGATTGTTGCTGAGCTAACATCTGTGCCAATATTCCTCTGTTTTATGTGGGATGCCACCACAGTGTTGCTTGAGGAGTGGTGCTAGGTCCGTGCCTGTGATCCGAACCTGTGACGCCTGGACCACGGAAGACGAGCACGTGAACTTAACCACCAACCCACCAGGCCAGCCCTAGGTTTCTTATTTTTAATGCAAGGAAACCTTTGGGAGTGATGGATGTCTTCATAATCTTGCATATGATGATGGTTTTATGGATTCACATGTGAAAACATTAAATTAGTCATTTCAAATATGTGCAGTTTACAATATTTCAATTATACATTAACAAAGCTGTTAAAAGTCATTAACATCATGATCAATAAATATTTCACTTGAATTAGCAGCAGGTGAAAAGGGATTTTTTTCCAACAATAAGTAAGATAGGTTCTTAATTTCCAGTGGAATGACAAGAAATTTCAATTTACATTTCAGAGTTCACCACATAATGTTAAGTAAATAAACAAATAAATGAATAGATAATTTTCAGAGCCTTAACTATAGCACATTGTTCACTGATTTATTTTCTGTCTCTGTAATTATGTTCCTTTTCTTTAGGTATAATACTGCTGGCCTGTGGATGGTGACCAATATGATGATTTTGGCTTTTTTTAATGAAACATTATGGTCAATTGATTTAGAAGCACCATACTTTGTTTTACCAATACTTGTTGGGCAGAAATTTCTGCCATGCTTTTTAACATTATCTAAAATCCCCAAATTATTTATACTTTCGTAGTTTAATCTATCCTACAATGAGATGCAGAGAAAAGCATTCCTCTTCCTAAGAACTTTTTCTAACAAAACTAGTTCTTTGAGTCAATAATGGTAAGCATATTTACATTCAGTGTTGCAAATACTGTATACTCTAGAAATTCATAGATGGGGTTTTCTTCTTACAACTAAGTTTCTGTGGTTAGTGAAACATCCCTGGAATGGCTAAGGCGTAAGAGAAGTCTTGAAGGAAGAATGAGAATTTTTAGATGAAGTTGAGGAGGGGAAAAGCACACCAGTCAGAGGAAGCTCAGGGAGAGGAAGGTGCAAAGGCAGTGAAGATTCATGGAGCATCTGGATCTCCTGTTCCCATTGTTCTAGGGGCCCTTGTGTAGGATGCAAGTGGGGGATAAGTTGGTGATGGATGAAGATCGGCTGGTACAAGGTTCTGAGGTGCTCTATACACCATGCTGAAGAATTTGGCTTGTACCAAACTGAACTGGGACTCAGTGAAGGATTTTAAGTGGATCAATGAAGTGACAAGAAAAAAGTCATTAAGTTACAAACAGGAAAACATATTAGAATGGTGGAGAATAGAATCTGGGAAATTCATTATTGTTGCTTTAATCTCAGGAAAAATGTTTGAGTGATGATGGTGTCAAAGATGGTGGCCATTTTGTTTTTGACAGAAAACTTGTTTGGATGGTGAAACCACAAAGCAGAAGGTCAGTTACTTTTCAGAGGTGTAATAACAATGAGTTCAATTAATTTCTTTGATAAAGTGTTTTGTCTATAATTATTATCAATAACTAGAAAATATGTAATTTTTGCAGGTCACAGTGAAAATACTTATCACTATCAGCCTATATCTATATTCAATTTTATATAGAAAGTTGATGAATGTTACTGGCCACTATTTATATCAAGGGAACTACTTATCCTCAAATCAAATAAAATTCGCAACATAATTTTAATTAGAATTTTAACTTCCTTCAAAAATGAATATTAAGAACAACAGATAAATTAATCATTGAGCACTCAAGTCAAAACAGAACTTTTGTTTGGTTGTCTGATTTATCTAATGAAAACAAAATTAGAGTCTTTATATAACTATGTCTTGGATACAGTCCCTTAATATATAACCAATATTTTGGAATTTAGTCTCCATTTAGAAATTTCCTGCAAGGTACTGGAAATTTTAAATGGATATTCTGTATCTCATAAAATAACTTAGAAAGAAAGTGAATGATGCCTGTCGATATAAATGTTATAAGGATTTTTAATACATGAAAGAGAAGATGCTACACATAGTAAGTTTGGACGGACTCCTGTTTCCTTCACATAAGGGTAATGTTATATTTATTTTCTATATCTTTTGTTGTACATTTTATCAATTGTTTTAATTTGTCTACTCCTTATAGTTAAGAAGTTAATTCTTTTCTCATAGTGGAGTACTAATATTTACAGGAATCACTATTATAAAGACATAGATCTTAAAATTTTATGTGTGCAAGGGCCATTTTGAGATCAATAGGTATGAATTTCTCACTCTGAAGATAAACATAAACAGGAGAAGAAAATTTCAAATCTCACTAAGTAGTTGGTCTACAGTCAAAAGGAAAATCTAGAGCAGAGCCAGCTCTCAAGCAGTTAGATCTGTCTTCTAAAGCCCACTTTTAACTTTAAAAAGAAAATTATATCGTTATCATATAGGAAACTCTCAACTGACAATGGAATAAGTGTAAGAAAGTGGAAATGTCATTAACCACAGACCTAATATGCATCAACAGTGATGATGGAGCTGAAAGAAACCACTAACTCTTTTGGGCTTCACAATGGAAGGGGGTCTACAGAGCCAGAGTCCATTTCAAGTGACCCCAAAGTCCATCAATGTTGTCACAAATGGCAAGATTTTCTTCCTTAGTGTGGCTTAATAATATCCCATTGTTTGGGTGTTTGTGTATATATATACCACATTTTTAAAATTTGTTTATCCATCAATGGACATGTATGTGGCTACCATGTCTTGACTAATGTAAATAATTCTGCAATGAACATGGGGTCCACATATCATGACAGATTCGTGTTTGCACATTCTTTGGATAAATACCCAGCCGTCGAATGACTAGGTTGTATGGTAGTTCTATCCTTAATCTTATGAGGAATTTCCATACTACTTTCCATAGTGGCTGCACCAGTTTGCACTCTCACCAGCAGTGTATGAGAGTTCTCTTTTCTCCATATCCTCTCCAACACTTGTTATTTCCTGTCTCGTTAGCTATAGCGATTCTGACAGGTATGAGGTGATATCTCATTGTAGTTTTAATTTGCATTTCCCTCATAGTTCATTATATTGAATGTCTTTTCATGTGCTTGTTGGCCATCTGTATATCTTCTTTGGAGAAACATCTGTTCAGATTTTTTGTTCATTTATTAATTGGGTTTTTAGTATTTTTGTTGTTGAGATGTATGTGTTCTTTATATATTTTGGAATTAACTCCTTATCAGATAAATGGTTTGCAAATATCTTCTCCCAATCGTTAGGTTGTCTTTTCCTTTTGTTGATGATTTCCTTTGTTGTGCAGAATCATTTTAGTTTGATGTAGTCCCATTTGTTTATTTTTTCTGTTTTCTCTTTCCCAGTCAGACATGACACTTGAAAATATGCTGCTAAGACTGATATTGAAGAGTGTACTGCCTACGTTTTCTTCCAGAAGTTTCATGGTTTCAGATCTTACATTCAAGTCTTTAATCCATTTTGAGTTAATTTTTGTGTATGGCATAAGCTAATTGTCTACTTTCATTCTTTTGCACGTGGCTGTCCAATTTTCCCAACATCATTTAATGAAGAGACTTTCCTTTCTCCATTGTACGTTCTTGGCTCCTTCATCAAAAATGAGCTGTTTGTAGATGTGCGGGTTTATTTCCAGGCTCATGATTCTGTTTCTTTGGTCTGTGTGTCTGTTTTTGTGCCAGTACCATGATGTTTTGATTACTATGGCTTTGTAGTATATTTGGAAGTCAAGGAGTGTGGTACCTACAGCTTTGTTCTTTTTTCTCAGGAGTCCTTTGGCTATTTGGGATCTTTTGTTGTTCTACAAAAATTTTACGATTCTTTGTTCTGTTTCTGTGAAAAATGTTGTTGGAACTTTGATAAGGATTGCGTTGAGTCTCTGGATTGCTTTAGGAATTTAGACATTTTAACTATGTAAACTCTTCCAGTTCAAGAGCATTTAATATATTTCCATTTCTTTGAGTCTTCTTCAATTTCTTTCAACAATGTTTTATAGTTTTCAGTGTACAGGTCTTTCACTTCTTAGGTTAAGTTTATTCCTACATAGTTTACTTTTTTTGTTGCAATTGTAAGATTGTATTCTTAATTTCCCTTTCTGCTACTTCGTTGTTAGTATGTGGAAACACAATTGATTTTTGCATGTTGATTTTTTATCCTGCAATTTTACCATGTTCACTTATTATTTCTAAAAGTTTTTTGCTGGATTCTTTAGGGTCTTGTATATATAAAATCCTGTGACCCGCAAATAGTGACAGTTTCACTTCTTCCTTTCCAATTTGGATCCTTTTATCTCTTTCCTTGCCTGATTGCTCTGGCTAGGACTTGCAATATTATGTTAAATAAGAGTGGTGAAATTGGGCATCCTTGTCTGGTTTCTTCTCTTATAGGGATAGCTTTCAGTTTTTCTCCATTGAGAATATTAGCTGTGGGTTTGTCATATATTGCCTTTATCATGTTGAGGTACTTTCTTTCTATATTCATTTTATTCAGAATTTTTGTCATAAATGAATGCTGTATCTTGTCAAATTCTTTCTCTGCATGTATTGAGATG